ACAACAGGTACGGTACAGGTTGGTTCGACGAAATTTTCGATACGAGAATTTTGATTAGTGCCCGGATGAATAAATTCCTATCAGTTGAATCCGCTTATCTCAATAGGAAACACCTATTATTTGAACGAGAAATCATAGGTAGCGAAGAAGAATGTGTAAACTCCTACTTTGCATCAACTCCAGTTTTACGAAGTATTTGTGCCCTGACAGGTTTGGATGAATAGACTTTTGTATGTAGAGTGGCTGCAAAAAGTATTTCTATATACTCTTATTTTCCAATGAAGTGTTCTATCATCAGTAGACTGCTTTTTATGCATTTATAAGAAACGTGAATGTGAAAAAGTGCAGAAAATGCAGAGTACGCGAAAAAATATATAAAACAAGCCAAGTACAGTGCTTCCTGCCATACTTGGTACATAAATCAATTCTCCATCGAGGCTCTAGCTTTTTAATTACGTTCACAAGGCTATGAATTTGCAGGACGATCCGCAGCCTAATCGTCGAGTCCCACATTTCATTTTCATAGCAGCGAGTTTCTTCAGTCGTATGAAAGTACTTCCAAATGATACGAAACTTAATAATACTTGAACTTGACCGATCAGTACGTAAATTCTACAACGAATTCAATGGCGTACTTTTCTTGTCCACCGTGTATCGTTTGATTATCATGAAGATTCAAGATCTACAATTTTGTATGTTGTTTTGTCAAACATGTGTCACGGTGGCGCAAAAACTGACGCACCGGAAAAGCAAACCAGGTCCGGTAGAGACAGCAAAAAGCATCGATAAAAAGACGTAATTCAATTAGAGGAGGGATATGTGTGTGCAAGTGGAAGCGTGGATGGCGCCGTTGGCAGTAGGTCAGAAAATCAGGTCAGGTAGAAACGGCGGTGAAGCAAGACAAGTAGAAGGGGCCAGGTACCGTTAGGTTCGTCTGGCGTCGTCCGTGCTCCACACCTGGACCTTCTTTTACACGGAAGAACGTGGGCCGCGGTTAAGAAGATAAACCGGCGGTGGACGAGATGCATCGGAATCCGCGTGCGTCGCCCCGAATCTCTTTCCAACGTTCTTTATACAAAATTCAACAAGCGAAGAGTTTCTCATGAATTCCAATCCGCTGAGAAACGGCCAGGACATCGATCACGTTTTTCTTTTTCTGTTGATCGTTCCGCGGACAAAACTGCACGCACTCTGCACAAACTTTTGGTCAAGTTGGCGAATCTTCTACGACGATGAGAAGGAAATTAGAGGAATTTTTCGGCTATTTCAATTATTTTAATTAGCCGGTAATTAGAAAAACGTGGCAATGTTCTCCACCGCGGTACCAAAATTTCGTGTATGCCTCGACTAGTAAAAGGAATTTTTCAATCTCATATTCTTCGCAATCTAAAGCTACTCTTCGATGTTTGTGGCTGACCAATGAATTTGCAGTTCCTGGACCTTCCATATCTCAGAAACTAATTGCAAACTCAACTTGAAAATTTGTTATCACTGACGTCTCACTATGAGAAATACTTTGGCGCAATATTCAGTTCCAAAATCACGAGACCAATAGTAGATGATTTTTTGGCTCACTTCATTCCTGTTGAAAGTCTACCCTGAAGCCCATTTTTGAATGAAGATATTAAAATAGCTATCGTTGCATGCTTATCGTCTGAATTTAATATTTGCTTTATTCGTTCGGTCGATTAATTATACGACCCTAAAGTGGAGAAGAATTTTATTTATAACTAGATCACGGATGTTTATACAAATTCGTATTTTTCGTAATTCAAAAAAGATGCAAACTAGGTAGAAATTGGTTTCACCGATTGGATATTATGACGTATTGTTTGCCTTGGATATCGTGTACATTTTTGACCATTACCTGCCCTCTGCAAATTTTTGCACTTTGAAATTTTCCATAAATTGTTTGTTTCTAACAAATAAGAAAGTTGTCATTATTAGTAAATAACGAAGATGTCGCGTAATTAGAGACGTACAGCGACTGAGAAAAGTACTCGCAAATGCTACTATTTTCCAGCGAAATGTTTTTTTTTTTTATTAGGGTGTACGTCTCATTTTTTTCGAGTATCAAATTTCTTGCACCTGATTAATTAGTATATAAATGATATAATAATAATAAGAATAATAATAAGAATGGCGAAGATAAAATTGTAAAAAAGCTCTTTGTAACGCGACACATTGGAAGGAATTCCGGGAACACAAGTGTGCCATTTCATCCCGGATAAAGTCGATTTTTATAATTCTTCCATAAAATAGAAAATAAAGTAATAAGGGTACGGCTGGCAGCCAGTAATTAAATCCTAAAAAAATCGTAAAATAAAATCAGAGCGCACATGGAAGAAAAAAATTCTACTAAAAATAGCTCCGAATATGGAAGGAAAAATTTTCCAATGGACATTTGTAAAAACGCCCTGTTTGAATTTCGTCGGATCAAAATACATCGTACAAAAAGAAAATTGGCACTTTTTTTTACCCATATAGAAAACTCCGCCAAAAAAGGCAACGTTGAATATATTACGTTAGCTTTTTTTATTCAAAACTATTCCAAGTGTTAATTACGATTTGTTTTATATCAAATGGTATACAAGGAGATCGATCTCATTATATTATAAAGATCATTATCCAATAACAATGACGTTAATAGAAAGTAGCTGCAGCTTTGTCGAAAAAATCTACAGTTTTGCCAAACAAAAATGAATGGCCTTAATTAGTTATCTGTCAATCCACGTGCAAAACGACATGATAATTTGATTTGGACGGTAGTTTGGCAAAAGCAAATTTTGCTAAACGATGATACTTGAGTTGCTTCGGTATCCTCCTAATTGAAATACCATTGTTTCCGCTACCTCATATTAGGTACCTGTTGATAGCTTATAATTGATGCGTTAATACGATAACGCGTGACGCGTTAATACGTCGATTATCACACTGTGAAAACCACTATGAAAACATTAACGTCATTTATATCTTCTGCTTTGATTTCCAGCGCGCGTTTTTATAACGCAGCTAATTTTTCGAAGGCGACTTTCAGCGAATACTTCAACAACATTTGGCCACGGTCGCGCTTCCAAAGCGGTACTCGACAGCTTAATGAAGCGTCTTTAAAACATCTGGAATGTTGACTTGTTAAGATGAATTCGAACTTCGCATGTGATTGAATTTACTACTCGCGTACAGGAATATATGTGTGTATATATGTACATAATGTGTGTATAGCAAGCAGGCAATCACAGTTTCCTTTTAATCTCAAAGTTCAGCTTCCTACTATAGACGCGTATTTGCTATACATTTTTTGCTATACACGACGAATGAAGTTTAGTTGATGATATTTCGGGCTTACATACCGGCAGCTTAGCTTGCAATTGGTATTTGAGTTTCTGTGTCAGATTACGAAAGTTCTGCAGCTGTTTGCGAACGAACGCATCTTCATTATGGATACGTCGTCTTGGGTACACTGCATGTTTGAGTACACATTATAGGGAATTCTGATGTTAGGTGTACCGTTGATTATTTTTGTCGTATACATTTTCCTAACACTTTGCAGCAATTGATGCGATCGCAGGAGATACTCACGAAAGTATTTAAACATTTAACACAAAATTTTCCAATGAAGATATTATCTACGCTGTACGAACCTTTTGAAATTTCGTTAGCGCGTAATCAGGTACGACTATCGCAATTATAATAATAAATTTCCAAGTAAATGTTGTCAAGTTTCGAAAAAAATAAAAATTCGTACAAAATATATTGTTTCGTTAAAAAGCAACAAGAAAATCTCTTTTATTGTCCTACAACAGCCCCAGAAAAATTGATAGCACAACAAACGATCAATCTTTCTATTACGGTTGGCTATGTTCTATTGTATATTAACTCTACAAATAAATTTGATCGTGTCACGATATTGTAAAATAATTTTGATTTCTGGGTCTTTGCAATTTTATAACTAAATTGTATTCTGTCAAAAATAAACAAATACCACATACTTCTGAGCGAGGCAATCTCTTGTTAACTATCTCGTAACTACCTCATAACTATCTCATAACTATCGCACAGTCTAACACGATGCGACCTACTCATGTCACGTTTCACTACGGATGGGCTAACATCGTTCTTGATCTTTCTATTTGTAATCTTTCAACTAAATTGCTTTCTGTCAAAAATAACCAAGTGTCCACATACGTTGGAGCGGCAATATATACATATAATCTCTCGTTAACTATCGCATGACTCTTATAACTATCAAAGACTGACATGATTGACCTATTCATGTCACGTTCCAGAATAGATGGGAATAACGGGAGAAATAAAAGAGAGAGATTGAATTATTTGTTTGTGGCATATAGCAATCTTGTATAAATGATTATACAATGTATAATAAATATATTGTATAAATAATGTAGAATTTATTTCTCCCCTCTTTTTGTGTATTTATTGCAGAGTGGACTGTCTAATTGATAAAACCGTATTGAGCATGTCTAGACAATCTTTCAAATTTTATTCGTCAAGCAAAGAGTTAAAAATGTTCATTTATATGGCCAGCAAATCTTTATAACATTCATTATACGTCAATTTGAAGCTTGAAGTTACTCGAAACCAGCTGCGAAACTTACTTTCTAAGCTACATTTACATCTTGTTATTTTATCAAACCATACAAACAATTTTACTGTTTAAGTGAATTTTATTAACATATAGAGATAAACATACTTAATTTAATGTAAAAATTCCTTCCGTTCGATTTTGCGCCGAGGAATTTCGGTACACACAAAAATTTTCAAAGACGAATATTTATTAATTTCATGCAACTTAGAATTCGCTAATCAGCGTGCAGCTCCAGTATCAAGATCAAAGACGAATTCTCCCACCGCATTTCATAGATAAATAACTAAAACAAATAACTATGCTACAAAATTGCGAATAAGTTTTCCCGGTATTAGATCAAAGTATACAGAACGTATATATACGTCGACTGGATTCGATAGAAATTACAGAACGTATATATACGTCGACTGGATTCGATAGAAATTACAGAACGTATACATACGTCGACTGGATTCGATAAAAATGTACAGAACGTATATAAACATCGTTGCTCGGATCCAAAGCGTTAACACTTTGATTGCCACGCCGAAATCACATGTTTCGCTCAGAACGCCACGGGAGTATTTTTATTATTCAAAGCATATTGACAAAATAATAATAAATCGATGGTGTAAGACAACATTCTTCCCAATGGACCGTTTATCTTCTTGGTGGTCACGGGTGACCATCGTGGCACCTTGGTAACAGTCGATAGCGACATATTATAACGAGGCTTCGGTTATTTCAACAAACCATTGGCATTCGTTATTTCGTCGTAAGCAAAACGTGCAGAATATATTGTCGAAACGTGTAGAAGATATTAGTAAACGGTATTTGCTCGTTCTATATGTAATAGTAAGGTATGTTCACACTTCTAACTTCAATTATACGATTATAAAGCAGCATTTACGATTATTTCCTATGTTGTGTTTATAATAATATTCGTAGATTACCCCTGAAAGATGTGGATGCAAACACAGTGCACAGTTACATGCAAGATTTGTTCTCATTTTGTTTTATCGATGTTCTAATAAAAATGTTTAATTGCTCAATGGGGCACTTTTTATTTCAAAGTATCTTCTATTTATCGGTTATATTCAAAATGCCCTATCTGTCAATTTTCATACAATTTTTACAATTGTAAGAAGTTCAAGCGCTCTGGTCACCAATGACCACGATGGCGTCACAAGAGAAACCGTGACCGGTCATATATGACCAATGTGGCAATCAGAGTGTTAATACTATGAACCAACACATTCGACGTTTCTGATAATGTTCGAATCTCCATGAAGCAAAAGTTACACCAATACATTAAATCATACATCTTCTTCATACACGCATTTTCTTTCGTTTCGATCACGAGCGTCAGTTACGAGAGAGATTAACGCATTTGAAGCTACACCCTTTTGTCGAGGGTAGAAAATCCGATTGTATCTTTGATGAAAGATTTGGTCTGTGCGTAAGTTCACATTCGGTTCTGTAATCGTTTATCTCTCTGACTTAGTAGTAATGGATGTCATCATCGTTTATGGCAGAAGGAAGGGCGGGCCAAGCCGAAGGGTGAGGTTGACTATCAGGGTTGCCTTTTACTTTCTTATCGGCGTCCTGTCAGGAACCAAGCCGCTGGTCGTTATACGTGCCGACGACTATCGACTTCATCGTGTCACTTTTAAATATCCTATAACTTTCCGCTTTGCACGATATTTTGGCATTTTACGATTTTATTGTAAGTATATTTGTGTCGATTTTGATAGAAACTCGCGTGTGATGTACTTTTGGAAAAAGTATTTGTCACGTATTTTTTTACGCATTTGTATTCACGTTGAAGAGGTAAAAACAGCCCCGAGTTACCATTAATAACGTCATCAATGTTTCGCTTTTTTTTATTTTTTATATATTTTTCAATGGAATATTATGGAACCTTCGTATTAATAACAAAAAGGAGAAAAATCGTGTATTTTAAATAACGATACGAAACAATATTTATTTGAATAATGTATAATTAAAGAGAGAGAAAATAAACGACACACGTGAAACATAAAAATAGATAAAGGATTAAAATATAAATATTCTTGCCTTTGGATTATTATATAGCCTTTTATATAGCCTAAAAGTTCTCAAATTTTTTATTGCTATGCTTAGTCTGTTTATTTTCGATTGTTTGTGTAACGCAACCGATATTTTCATTGAATCGTTCGTGGAAGCACAATAGCTTAACCACCATATTCTGTTAAGCTAACATCAATAGATTTTTATTTATAGACTCGCGTTAAGTCCATTGTACACATCGAACAAAATATCGAATATACTACACTCTATGCAGCAGTTATTTCGTCTGAGCACTTTAAAAAACACAATGTTTCAAATTCTCTTATTGAAAATCGTTCCCAACAATTTCTGCATTGATAAAGGCTTGTCATAGTTTGAGAAGACAGATAGAAAAAGCGATACAAGTAAACGTTTGCTAGCAATGAAATTTCAGCATCGATTCTATTCAAAAAAACAGCCTGAGCCGCAATCAGCGAGATCATCGTAATCCCTAAATTGTTCCATCGATTTTATATTGTTTTTTTTTTTCTTTTTATCGAATAAGTGAAATCGAGTTTTCTCGTGCTAATTGATTTGTTGTTTTTACGAGAGGAAGCCGATCAGAAACCTTGAGAACTGTCAGCACCAAGAAGTCAACTTCTAAAGCGGCAGGTGGGAGAGACAAGGTTTAATAAAGATCATAATCAGTTTGGCACGTTCAATTAGTGACTATCAATTAGCAAAGAACACTGAGGTTTCTCAGAACAATCACAGACTGTTAGCTTAGTGCAGTTTCAATGGAGACTTACAAATAGTTGTTCAATGTAGAACAGAGGGATTTAGCACATTCATCTATTTTAGTCAAACTCAACCAGTGGTCTCAGCAATCTCAATTCATGGGACTAAGTTTTAGTCGAAGTTTTAGTGCAGCCTCGATCAGTAATCGCATAGCCTCCCGTTAGTCTCACTCGGGGCATTTCAATTCAAATGAATTAAGAATAAACGATAACGAGAGAAAAAAATTATCATTTCCATTCACAGAGAATGAATTCGCCTTAGTTTGAAGTATAACGTTTATGGCAGTCAGATGTTTTATATTGATCGTATTTCTTTTATCGTATTTTATTAGGAGAAACACGTTATCGACTAAGAGTACATTTCTGGTGCTGAATGAGATGCTCTTAGAAGAAAATTCTTTCCATCGTTACATCTGCCTCTGAAAATTTCTTTTTCATTTTAGTTATTCCGTATATTACAATCAATTCTCGTTGAGAATTATAAACAAGTTAGGCTTACGTATTACAATGATACGGGGAGTAATTTTAAATTACTTACAGTTGATTCCATGCGAGTGAACGTTCTGTTTCAGCTGAATCTCTTGTGTAATTCTAGGGGTAGTGCCTTTTTAGTTTACGTTCAACAGTCGTGTGACTACTGATTTTGGACGATTTTTTACAGGTTTCTTGACTATTCTTAATAGTACAGATTGAAATGAAATTTATATGCTACAATTCCTCGTTTATATTTGGGTCTCCCTTCCAACTAACGTAGGTCTAAATGACAATTAACGTGGCTTTCTATAGCAACAATTTTTTACCCAGTCTTAAGTTCCATCGTTTACTAATTAACCGGTCGAACTTTTTGTCTTTTAACATCAGTTGCTTGCACTTTGCTCTACTCTGGCGCTTTCGTATTAGTCTTCTATCGAGTAAATTGCCCATGTACTTAACTGTATAGTTAATTAGAATTGTGAAGTTAGGAATAGTCACTGGTGGACAAGATTGTCCGCATAATGTAAAAGTTATGTGAGTGGGTTCATCTTCGTTTATTTTGAAACGTCATTTCAACGAATCACCTTCCATAGCATCGAAATTACTGTCTCGATTCCTTTTATTATTTTTAAAAAGTTTAGCTTTGTCCCGATAAGTTCCCTCGTAACTGAGACACCCTGTATATGTACGTAATTGCTGATAGAAGACTTATCAAAGTTGCAGAGTGAATCACGAGGAACAGGATAGTCATACATCTCCGTTACTTGTCATTGTACGAAAAAATTCCTCACTATTAATGATTACGTACAATTGACTTGCTTAAAGGCTTGTAATTTCGAATATCGTGTTTTCACGATAATCGCGTTAAATACGATACGTGGTTTACTTAAAACCTGATGTAAGTACATATGTATGTAGTTCGTATCTTTGCCATGACTCTGCTTGACCCTTCAACGGTTTCCATCATTCGCTCGCAACATAGTAGTGAATCGTAGCTGGGTTTTATATTTACGAAACGTTGAGATATTCTTGCACAAGACAGAAATCTTAGACCTGGAACCTTCAGTTTCGTATTATTGCGAAGCTCAAATCATACTCCAAATGAGACGACACGTGTGTTTTGAGCAACTGTGACGCACGTTGTTGTTTTCTTTCATTTCGCTCTCCTTTCGTCCGAATATTAATATGATGTTCAAACGAGACAATATTTGTTACAAGTTTACTGTCCATACCAACAGTCAAAGAGGAGATAGCAAAATATAGCGACAGATATAGCAAAAGAGTCGACAAACATCGAAACCCCCTAATTACTGGACTACTCGATACGTCGGACCAGATCCGCAGGCTGAAGAGACACTACCCGCTAGACCTAAACGCTAGATTCAATTAGTTATCTAAATTAAGTAATATTTACTTACTTATAAATTATACTTATCTATATTAAGTATTAACTTATTGTAAATAATTAGCCATGTCACTGCGGCACGCCAGAAAAAATTACTGAAACTTCTCAATGCGAGAATTGATTGTAAGTCAAACGTTGTTGCCGGCAAGAAGTTGTTTACTTTTTTTCAAACTACAATAAGTGCATCATCAAGTACACAGTGTTGATAATTTCGAAACGACATTAGAAACTATGGAAACCTACATTGTGCTTTTAATGTAACTCTTTCATGGTCGGCAATAAGGTCAAGTTACTGTCTGAAGCATCGTAAGGGAGCGCAAAGATATCGCAACGTGATGTTGGGTGTATCCACTTCATCTTGCATTGTAGTCTCACCTTGGCCAGAGCCGCTCATTGCCTGCCTTCGATCGTACACTTCTATCGCGTTGAACGATCGAATCCTGCGAGGATAAGAATACGTGCCTACGGATATACATCCATATCGAGATGTCTGTTGGCATGAGCGATAAGAGTGGCTCGTGAAATAAT